GGGGGATGGAGGAGAGGGGGAGAGATTTTGGGAGACAGCACTCCAGGCACAAGGAAAAGCGCACACAGAGGCCTGGTAGGCAGAGAGAGGGCTCGGGGCCCTGGGGGCTCCGGGAGGGGTGGCCGGGAGCAGCAGGAGACGGCTCTCTAGGGAGAGGGCAGTGGCTGTTTATGGGGTCTTTGTACACACAGAGTGGGGTGGACGGGGAGAAGGAAAGGGCTAGAGGAGTTCACTGTTTAGAAATGTGGACGTACCAGTAGGTAACTGGGTAGGCAGTTTTGGAGACCAGGAAAGAAGCCAATGTGAAAATTATTTAGAACCCATCGGTTTAGGGACAGTAACTGGAGCCAGGAGGCAGAGGCTGCTGTATACTGAGGGAGAAGAGAAGAGGGCGAGAGGGGCCTTGAGAAGTCCACTTAAGGCTGACACAGAAGGGAAACCCAGAAAGGGGACTGAAAAGTAGCCAGAGGCAGAAGAAAACCCAGGAGCTTGTGGTGAAGCAGGCGCCACTGGGAGAGCACTTCCAGACACAGGGAGGGGCTGCCAGGGCCGGTGTGGAGGTGACCCAATGTCCAGTAACGATGCTGGGGAGAACAGCTGTGGCTGGGTGAGCCGGGGGCAGGGGCTGCTCCTCCGCTGCCGTAGGAAACCAGGGGACAGTGGACCCTGCGATGTTCAGGGTCTGAGCGGCTGGAAGCTGAGCGATGTCTCTCTGAGAGCAGAGGAGGTGGTGGCGTAAGTGACGTGAGAACGCGGAAGTCTGAAACACTATGTATGCAGAGGCAAGAGACTGACCTCGAGGTGAGGGACCAAGCATGGAACATACTAAAAGAGCAACAATAGGAAAAAGGTATCAAAAATAAGACACGCACTCCTGACGGACCAGAGATCTGGGGAACCTCTCCAAGCGTGGAAATACAGTAGGCTCGATGCCAGAGCAGTGAGCGGGGGCCTCGGCAGCCGTGCCAGCCCCAGGTGGAGCTCAACAAACGGTTGCCAGCGTGTGCCACAGGCTGGACTCTGTCCTAGGCACTGGCTTCTCTGCAAAGATGGACGCGTCTGAGCGCAGGAGAGGGAGCACTCGGAAGCGGACGGCAGGGCTCCGTGGCAGGCGGCCGACTAGTCACGGAGGCGCTAATCTGAACAATTTGTGATTCTTTTTTCAGCAACCCAGGTGTACAAGCAGAGCTGGACTGACCTCATATTGGGGTTTTGCTGAATGAGACGGTGGAAGGGTTAGCAGGGCAAGGGGCATAAGGACATGAACAAGAAAGTCATTCAGCCAGTTCTGTTAGAGCTGGACTTGCAAAATACATTATGTGAGCTCCTCAGACTACTGGTTCAGCAGCTGCCATGGAGAACTGAACTAACACTTGTTTTGTAGGTTAAACCCGTTTAAAAATAGACCTCAAGTTTTATTATGCAAGGTGGGGGGCTTATTAAAATGCAGGCTGTGGCCCAGTGGTGGAGGGCTTGTCTAGCATGCCCAGGGTTCTGGGTTTAGGCCACAGCATTGAAAGAAAAACAAAACAAAACAAAAAAATCAAAATCCTGATGCTGACAGTGTAGGGCTGGATGGGGCCTGGGACCTGAGATTGAATTTTTCTCTATTGTCTTTTTTTTTGCTATGCTGGGGATTGAGGGCCGAGGATATAGCTCGGCGGCACAAGTGCCTG